GTTTAGGTCAGTGTGGAGACTCCGGTAAAAGTACTTCTTTTTTTTTTTTTTTTTTTTTTTTTTTTTTTGCCAGATTCCTGCTTTTGACACTTTATGGTTATGGCCTTGGTCATATGGCTATGGTTATGTGCCTTTGGCAAATTTACAGGGATGGATTTCCTTAAAAGATAATTCCTTTTAATGACCCCATTCTCCAAAGTAGGTTATGTGTCTTAAAAGTAAAAAACAAAAAAACAAACAATAACCCCCAAACAAACAAAACAAAAACCAAACCAACCAACCAACCAAAAAACCATAAAAAACCCCAACCAAACAAAAACCCCACACTAAAATGTTATTATGATTTGTAGGGTTCAGTTCTGGTCTCAAAACAATGTAAGGGTATGCTTTTAGTAGCAGGAATTGTTCATCTAGAAGGGAGTTAGTGGTTTTTATTGTTTTAAGTACAATGTATTTCAGTTCAAACAACAGCACTGCATTTGTAATTAATCACTGCCTGAACCCCAGAGTGTTGCCAGTCTGGAAATGGCAGCCTGGTGAGGCAGCACGTGAGAGCAGGAACAGAGCTCGTCCCTGTAGGACACTGGGACTGGAAACCTCCAGCAGCAGCTTAGTCCAGAGCTGGGGAGAGAAAGGGAGCAGCAGGCACTGATTGCTCAGAGACAAGGCAGTCTTGTCCAAGGAGAAAGGTGGATGGTTCAGACTCCGTGTCCCACACGGTGCTGCTCCTGCGGCTGCCTCACAGCTCCCACGACAGACAGGATTCAGAGGAGCATTTTCACAAAAACCCCGTTTCACCATCACCTGGGGGTAGTTTGGGGCCTGGTTCAGCTCCAGGTTTCTCTGTGGGTCACCAGGGAGGAAAACAGCAGCAATATCATGGGCTGACTGAAGCCTGAGGCTTGCAGATGGAGAAAGCAGCATCAGCCAAGTACATGTTAGTGGACAAATAGTTTTTTTCTGGGCTGAGCTGTCATCCCTCTTAATGATTCCTTGCACAGAAGTTGTTTGTACCCTTAATTACCTTTGCTACCTTTCTTTACCTCTTCTAACTCACTGCATCCTTTTTGAAGCAAGTGACCAGATGGTCAGAGCTTATGTTATTCTAAGGACATAACAGGAGTACATCAGAAAAATTAGTACCTGTGTTCTAGCAATGGGCAACAGCAAATCAGCTGTAATTGGTACAAAGGCTGCTACTGTAGGGTCTCTCTGTTGTGGCAATGTGCTTTGTCATCACCTCTGTCTGCTGGGTTGAGGAGGGCTGAGCTCAGGACTGGCAGGGGGCCAGAGCAAAGCGTGGGTTTAGTTCCCTGTGTTGCCAGTGTGGGAGCTGCACCAGCAGATCCAGAGCAGCCTCTTCGTGAGCTGGAGACCCTATAGAGGCTGTGAGATCTACAGGTCAGAAACCTTGAGGCTTTGCATCTTCTAAGCAGAAACTGTTCATCTCAATGCAAATCAGCCTAACTACTGAGTTCAGTGAGTTTGCACAAACCAGCCCACCTGACAGTTGGGTCAAAGGTATGAGGAAAAATTTATCTTCAGGCTTTTATCTTCCTCTGAGTGTTATATCAAAGTGCCTTTGTTAGTGACAAGTAAGTATCCTTCATTAAAAAAGAGCTTTGCATGACAATTATGTAGTAGTTTTTGTTTGCTTTCCTAATTGGAGAACATTTTGAAAGAGCAATAAAACACAATTTGTTCCCTCTTTCCAAAGCGAAACATCTCCTTTTGGAAGGAAGGAGGGAGTAAATTTACATTATAATGAGCAAATTGTTATGAGCCTGTAGATCAGTGTTGACATAAGGGGTGACGGAAATGAGATGTTCTCATTTTGTGCATTCCCCTCCCCTTTTGCTTGCATTTGCCTGTGGATCCTGCTGCTACTGAGCAAGGAAGTGGCTGCACTCGTGGTCAACAATAGCAGCACATCACAACTGAGGGAACAAAAATTGGTATGAAAAAAATCATTCTTCACCAGGGAGTGACGAATGTGCATCTCAATCCTTTCCCCAGCAAGTACTTGTGATGGAGGCAGGTCCAGGTTACTCCTGCACCTTCTAGCCAGTTGATTTTTACTGTCTCTGTTTTCCTGTTGGTCTTGTCCTTTCCCACTACTGTCAGAATATTGGTGGAATGAGAGTGCTAGTTTGGCTTCAGGCATATGACTTACCTAGAAAGAGTTCAGAAAAACAGCAGGGTTGGGGTCTGCTCCTGGCCTGCTGCCAACCCCGGGAGGTGACTGAGAAGCCAAAGCTATTGTCTCAGTTGTCCCTGTGTCCTGCCCTTACTTTTGGAAGGGAACTGCAGCTGTCCAAATCTTTTCTCCTTCCCGTCCCTCTCTCTTTGTTAACAAGTGGGTTCATTACTGGGTTGAGCAGCTGAAAGTGACATTAACCCCCTGCCCAGCTGTTGCAGTGTCAGGGCTCCAGGCGAAATGGCATTTGTTTGGCTCCTGGAGATGTCATCCAGCGATTGCCTGGAGAGTCTGGCTGCAAGTGAAATCCATATGCAATGCCTCTGTCAGCAAAGACTTGCTGGAGGAGAGTTTATAATAAATATTCACATCTGCTGCTTTGGACACTCTAATCCATCCTACAGATCTTTGCTGTGTCAGGCTTTGTTCTAGATGAAGAAGCTGGGTAGTTACAAAGGTTTGCAAATAGGGCATATTTATCATGGTTAGCTCTACTTCCTAGTTCCCGTTCTTGCACACATATCCATGACCACACCAAGCATAACTTGCAGTTAAATAATCTTGGTGCATTCGTAAGGTGTTTTAGGCTACGTGGTTCCTTTGATAAATGGTGAAATGAAGCTATCAGATCTTCATGGGCAGAGCAGAGAACATCATTGTTATGACTCAGTTTGAATGGAGGACAGGATATTCCCTGGATAAACTATTCATCACACAGGCACACCCAAGGCCCTATGGCTCACATATTGTTAAAACTGGGACAGATTCTTCCACACTCACTTCTATTGGGCAGTATGTTTCCATTGGCCACTTGGTGAATAACCTGAGTCACTGAAAATAGCAAAATATCTCCTGTTTTTCATAATCTTCCAAAAAATGATGACCTTGGTGCCAGACTGTCTTTGTCAGTGTCAATATTAATTATTCTTCTGCTGGTGATGTCTGCTTTCAGAGAGAAAATCTCGATACATAAAAAGCTGTAATCATTTGGAGGGTACATTGAACTTGCTCCTAATAGAAAAAGGTGTTTGACCAAGATCATGGCTGACAGTAGAGTGATCCTGTTGTTGGTAGGGCCATATCAGCTTTAAAATGAATGTATTGATCCCCCCCCTTTTTCTTTGGTACATGAAACTCATGATTATTATAGTTAATTTCTAAAGGAGAGAATCTTTATCTGCGGGCTGGGTAAGTAAGAGGTGCTTCAAACATATCACTTACCAGCAGTTACCTCTGCTTTTATTTAAGGATGAAGTTAATAAACTTATAAACACATTGTGCTTCTGTAAGAGTGATGAAAACTGAGTTTGGTTCATAAACAAACACAGGGAAACTGGGAACTCCTTAGAACCTTTTTTAGGTTTTATCTTTTTTTCTATGGTTAGACTCAATTTGATACTAAGAATTTAATTATCATCATTTTTTTTCCATAAGGATATAAGGGAAAAAGACCCTTAGTTCAGTTAGAGCCTGACCTCCTGGAAATTCAGCTGAAAACCCACATCTTCATGTATTACAGCGGTACAAGAAAAGCAGCATTAGAAGCATGTCTGATGTTGATACCTCCAGGTATCAGAAGAGCATTTACTTCTCTGGTGCTCAGTCTGTGTGTCAGAATCTGGCCCTGAGTAACTGTATCCAAATATAAGTAAAACAGCCCTGCTCCTAATGAGGAGAACACCGGGGTCTCCATATTCGCTTCATCGCTGCAAAATCCAATTTCGCTATTATTGATCCGTCCAGCAGGAGTGTACACACAAGGGGGGGTGTCTTTAAAAACCACGACCTCATAACTTGAGCGCCGCTCTGTTGCGCGGCCTTTGCCAACCTCGCTGCCTTTGCTCTGCCTTGCAGGTGGCGTGGTGGCCCTGGGCAGCAGCGACGGCTCGGTGCGGGTGCTGCGGCGGGACGCGGGGCAGCTCTGGGCGCTGCGGGGCCCAGGCGGCGCCGTGCGGTGCCTGCGCTTCCACGGCCCGCGGCGCCTCCTGTCCGCGGGCGCCGACGGCAGGCTCTGCCTCTGGACCTGAGCACCGCCCTCGCCCGGCGCCGCGGGACGAGGCTCGGGCAGCGCGGGGCTCATCGCTGATGTCTGCGCCCCAACGGAGCGTTATTCGGCGTTTTATCCAAATAAACCCCACAGTTTCTCCCTCTTTCTGTTGGCCCCGCGTTTCTGCCCAACGCCAAGAGTCTCTCCTTGGGTGGTTTCTGGAGAAACAGCTTTACAATGACGCCTAATGACAGCGCAGCCGAATTGCAAGGAGATTGATTTTTAATGTAGCACAGCACGAGACGCGTGAGCCGGGGCGCCCCTTCCCCAGCGCAGCCGCCTGTGGGAAGATGAGGCGAAGTTTCCATAATGCGGCCATTGGGGATGTTTTCCCGGACACCGCCGGGGCAGCGGCGATGAGCCGGAGTTGGGGATCGCGGAGGGGCTGAGGGGAGCCAGGCTGAGAGGAGACCGCCTGAGGGAGTTCCAGCTGGCGGATCTTAGCGGGGAGCCGGTGGATCTGAGGGGAGTCAGTGGATCTGAGGGGAGCCGACGGGCCTGGGGGAACCCGCCTGAAGGGAGCCCCAGCCGGCGGCGGTGAGGGGGGAGCCGGTGGATCTGGGGGGCTCCGGGCTAAGGGCAGCCCGGATGAGGGGAGCCCGAGGCGGCGGGTCTGAGGGGAGCCACCGGGTCCGAGGGGGGAACCAGCGGGTTTGAGGGGAGCCCAGGGCCGTCGCCCCAGCCGGCGGCGGGCGGGGCAGCGGCCGGGGCGGGGGCGCCCCGCCCCTGCATTATTTTTTGGTGTGGTTTTTTTTTTTTCCCTTGCTCTCCCCTCTTTCTTCTCCCCTCCTCCCCAAAAAAGAAAAAATTAATTGTTGCAAGAGCGGGCAGGGAGCTGCGTGGCGCGGGCATGCCCGGCCCCCGGCCCGGGGAGTCCCCGGAGGGGAGCGGGGCTGCCCGCCCGCCGGGCGCGGGGCTCCTCCGCCCGCCCTCCCCCGCCTGCCTCCCGCCTAACCCGCGCTCGCTCCCCCCCTTCCCCCGCCGTGGCAAAGCTGGAGCCGCAGGAGATCCGCCGGGCACAGGGAGGGGACAGAGATGGGTTGTTTTCTCACAACCCCCCCGCCCCGAGACCTGAGGAGATGCAGCCCAAGTTCGCCGCGATGACTCTGCTGCTGGCACCGGGGATTCTCCGCGGCATCCCAGCCTCCGGACCGCCTGAATCCTGCTCCCTCTGAATCCTCGGCGCCGGGTTAAAGCTTAATTCTCATGTCGTGGTTGCTGGGCTGCCGCGCTCCCCTGTCTTGCGATGGGAGGTGGAGGAAAAGGGATTGTCCGTGAGTCAACACCGAAAACGTGATTAGGAGGAACTGCTTTCACTAATCTGTTTCTAACCTTTCAGTCCTTGTTGGCCTGTGACCCCTCTCAGCTTTCAGATCGAGCCTGATTAGGTAAGTGTGAATTATTCGCTTGCGGTGAGGGAAGGCGGATGGAAACGTGTTACTCAAAATTAACCACGATCCTGACCTCTCTCATGATGAGAAATTATGAGAAAGTTCAAGCTGTAAACTAATTCTGAGCTGAGCAGCATTTGTTTACTTGTTGAAATCTGTCCGTGCAAGACGTCTGCAGTCTGTCTGGTTTCCAGGATCGCTTGTGAGTTGCTGTGGGACATCTCAGCTGCTGTAGCAAAATACAGTGCTCTTATTTATGATCTGTGGAGAACTTTTACATATATATATATATATGTTTTGGAGAGTTTCTTCATCAAACTCTAACAAATTCTCTCGATTGTTTCACATTTCCTCAGATATGAATTATTTCATTTGCTTGATTTTTTTTTTCCCCTTAAAATGCCCACAGATCTGCAATGTTGCAACCTACCTGTAGCATTTAGGTGGGAAGATTCTCTGCTCTGTAGATATGTAAAGCAGCCGTATCTGGAGGAATCACTTGATTTCCAAACAGCATGTTACAATAGATATTGCTGATAGGAGTAACAACAGGGTGCATAGTCCTTGTGATGGAAACGCAGCTAGTACTTCAATTAAGAAGATATCTTTTTGAATTTGATAAAGCTTGTGTAATATCCGGTGTCTCCCTCTGTTGTGGCTTTGGAAAAACTGCTTTGTCAACAGGATCCCTTAGCTGCTTCTCTAGGATTAAAGCTTTCTTCTCCTGCTGCTGCTTTTTTTGCATAAATTAAGGGAGAATTAATTGCTGAACATCTGCAGTCCACCAGAAATCCCGGTACATAGAGAATATCTCTCCGAGGGGTGGGGGGAAGTACGTGTTTGCCTGTGTGTGCAGGTTAATGCATGTTTGTGGATACTGTGTGTGGCTGGGTGTGCGTGCTCCGGGAGCGGAGGAGAAGGGAGGGTGACACGCACATCCCAACAGTCCTTCTTTTGGTTTGTGCCAGGATCTACCTCCGTGGCTCCTCAATCCAGATAAAGCTAGTATTTCATCTCGTTGAAAAGTTTCCTGTAAGACTTTGCCCAGTTCCCTTAAGAGAGGTCAGAAATCAGTTTGCTGCCGGGGTTGCCCTGCCTGTGGGTTTGGGGGCAGGTTGGTGGCGGCGATGTGGCACTGAAGGAAGCCAGAAGTGCTCCCAAGACACCAGCACGGAGCCTTCGCCTGGCGCCGGCGCTCCCGGGGGTCAGTGCAAAGCTCCTCTCCCTCCCCGGGTCGATCCTTCGCTCGGCCGCTTCAGCAGAGCTCGCCGAAGGTCGGGCCGTGCTGCATCGCTCCCAAAGTTTGAGAAGGGCTCAGCTTAATCAGGCAAACGCAGTTCAGCTGCTCCATGCGTTATGTAGGCATTAAACGTCCTGTCTCCGCGTTTCTCTCTGGGAATCACTGAAATGCTGAATAATGGAGCAGGTGAACTGCATTTTTGCTTCTGTTGGGGTTATAGGTACCTGCTGCAGGCTGGGCTGTGTTGGTAGCTCAGGTAGTCCCTTCAGAAATGCTGTATATAAAATTCTATACTCTCCCACCTCTCACAGCCCAAGTATAACCCAGCACCATCTTTCATATTGGACACAGATCTGACAGCAGACTGTGCTTAACTCCTTTTTCAGCTCAGCTTTCCCACCCCAGGTTAATGGAGTGGGTTGTTCACCCTGTGTATCACCAAGGGACAGTGGCCATGGCTGGAGATTTAGTCTGTGCTTAAACTGGGGTTCAAAACCCTCCAAGCTGCCATCACCATGTGATTTCAGGCAGCTGATTTAATTTCTGGTGCATCTGAAAACTCAGCTGGACAAATGAGGAAAGTAAAAATTAGATGATTCTGTGAGACACCATTCCTCAGAGATACTTTGTGGGCATATACTTCCAGGCATGAGCGTCCAAGTTATGTATTTCACATCTTTGTTCTCTGTAACAATAATAGAGAAGAGGCTTAATTTAAATGAAACAGTAATATTTATCTATGCAGTTTGAGAATTCTGATTTATTCTTGGGTGATGGTTGAACCTATGACCTTTAAGGTAATATTCCTTGAATTTTGGGTTTGTTCTCACTTAAAAATACTTGTTTTCAGACCACAACACTGGTCTCCCTATGGAAGCAACTGTTTGTATCTGGCATTAAGATCCCATGGAGAAGCTGAGGAGGGGGATGGCTCTTCATATCCATGAAGTCTGGATACTTCTGTTTGTAATCCCTGGTTTGGTCACTCCAGCTGCCATCAATCATGAAGACTATCCTGCTGATGAAGGGGACCAGACCTCCAGTAATGACAATCTGATCTTTGATGACTACCGGGGGAAGGGCTGTGTGGATGACAGTGGCTTTGTGTACAAACTGGGAGAACGTTTTTTCCCGGGACATTCCAACTGTCCCTGTGTCTGTACTGAGGATGGACCTATTTGTGATCAACCAGAATGCCCTAAAATCCACCCAAAGTGTACAAAAGTGGAACACAATGGATGCTGTCCGGAATGCAAAGAAGTGAAAAACTTTTGTGAATATCATGGGAAAAATTACAAGATCTTGGAAGAATTTAAGGTATGACATCCTTTCCTCACTATTAAATATTAGTATGCTTTAGGAATTGTATTTTTGCTGGGAACTCTAAAAGGCACTCAGTATTTGCTTGCTGCTGTTGGTGGATGCTGAAGCTGCAGTCGTTTTTAGCTGTGGTGCAGGTCTGGCTCAAGTAAAAGCTGCAAAAGCTCCCCCTTACCAGCATTCACTGAGGGTCAGTGGTCAGTCAAAAGCCCCCCTGGGAATTGCCAGCCCTCTGGATCTGCCTCCTTTGCTCATATCATGGATCATGTTGGAGCACCAATGGTGCATAAACCAATGCTGAGTGCTTTTTAAGAATCCCTTTTCCAACTTGGATAGCAAAAAATTGATGGTGCAGTACTGAGAGTTGTTACTCATAACTGTATGAGAATGCAAACAAGTAGATGGTAAACTATATTTAATGTTTTGATTTGAACTGTGATAAGGCTGTCTAGAATGGAGAAGATGAATTCCTAGGCAGATGACCATCTCAAGTAATAAGAAGTATGGGGTTTTATTGTAATGGTTGAGTTTCTCTTAGGAATGGTGTGAAGAAATCCTTTTGAAATACATCTTAAAAATAAGACCAGATTCTAAAAAACCATTACCCTTTACACAACCTGCATCTCTCATTCTAATGGGTTCAATCACATGTTTTCAATTCTGCTAAGGAGGATAGCACTTCACAATGAAGAATGGTGTCTGTAAAAGCTGTAGGTACACAAGTTTGTTCTTCAGGTCACGTGGCTTTAGGAGTTGTACCTCTGTAATTAATGACAGCCTATAGCTCTTCATGGCTGTGTGCCCAATCTCGTTATACACTTGGGCAGTTTATTTGCTTTCCTGCAATGAGAATAATTTCATATTGGTCTGCACTTCACAAGCTCTCAGTAACATAGATGACAATTTCCTTCTTTCCAGAAACTGTCATTTTCAGTGAAAGTAGTGGTTAGTTTCTCTCTTCTATCATGTGTGGTTTATGTTCATCTTTTTCTGTCCATCTGTAACTGCAGTCCCTCAGTCTTGGCGGGATAGTTTAACTCCACAGGCAGGGAGCAAAGCAAAGGTGTGAGGAACATCTCCTTGAGGGCCATCCTGATCAACCTGTTCCCTGCTTTGCTTCACTGAGGAACGTGAAGTTGCTGATCTTATGAACTACTTAAATAAAGCAGTAAACTTGTGCAAAATCTTGTGAACTGCTCTTCTTGCCCTAGGAAGGCCCAGACCAGCTTCATCGTGCTCCAGTGCTCCCATTTTGACTGCTGTGTTGTCATCAGGTGGTGAGATGTCCCACCTAGGTGGTTGGATTCTTACATGAGAGTTACAAGGACTATTTTGGAGAGATTTTGGGAAGCAGAAAGTTACAAGGACTCTTTCTGATGAGATTTCAATGGGAGAATAATGAGATGGATCTTGTCCTTAAAGTATTTTCGTGTGTGAATTAAGTGCAAAATTAAAAAAAAAAAAAAAAAAAAAATCACTTTTCCTGAAAGAAGTCTTTGCATCCTGATAACAGATTAAACTCTACAGAAATAGAGAACATAGGAAGAAAGGCTATTAGAGAGAGTTAGGAGCCATCTGGTTCATTGCTTGTTGTGTTCAGATACTGTGGGGTGCTGTGTGAAAAGCAAAGTGCCAGTATCCTCTGAGGAACACAGAGTTGATGGTGTCACGCTACTCTCACACACAGTAACCTTCTGTCCAGAGCTAATGTGAGATGCTTCAGACTTAATTTAGCTGACAGTCAAGCTTGTGACCTGGATCTGTGTTTTGCTGAAAGCTCAATACCTTGTGGAGTAGGGCAGAAAAACCAATGTTTTGGAAATCTATGTGTTTACCTAGAATAAACAGTGAGTTTGTTTCCCTCTTAAGTAGTGTAGGAGAGTCAGGCAGTGGAAGATCACTTCCAGGGGTGTTTGGGGGGGGGGGGGAAAGGAGCACCTGTGAACTATGACTTTATAAATGCTATAGGAAAGACAGAATTTCAGGATTCAGGAAACTGCTGCTCTGAAGTCTTGGCTTTATGAGGCACCCAAGCACAGATGAAAGTCAGAGCAGTTCATAGGTTTTGCAGGCTCTGAGCTCTGCTCTTCCCTCATCCTGTTGCATTTCTAAGGTCTGCAAACTTTCTCACGTCCGTTCCACATACACTGAAGTCAAAGAGGAGAGGCTTTCTCCAGTGACTGACTCAAACCCAGGCTGCTTTCAGTGGAAACAGAGGCACTGTTTTATGTGGTCTCAGAACCCTTTCACCCACTTGATTTACTTTTGCTCATATGTAGGTTCCAAATCGTCATCTATAGAAGGGCTTGTCAGTGCTTAGTTTCAGCTGAAATTAGCCTCTATTTAAAAATCTTCTGCAAGTGTGTGTCTGTATGTGTGTGTGCCAGGACTGAGTCATCTTGTAGAGATTTCAGCTGCCCGATCTTTCACAAATTAGGATTAATTTTCTTCTCTAGGATTTTTTTTTTTCTCAAGGGTATCAAAATCTATGAGAAGTTCCCATTTGGAAGAATTTTTCTGTGTTGTTGCTAGATTTTTGCTTAGATTTGGGGTGATAAATCCAAAAGTAATTTAATCTTTTTTCTTACCACTGGCAGTAACTCTGATGCTCTCGGGATAAAGGGGTTGTTACAAAGGCCCATTTCTTGAATGTTAAGCTTTCTTCTAGTGAACAGATCTTGCACATCTGATTTTTTGAGTCATAGCAGTCATAAGCACAAAATACAAATATGACAACAAACCATCTAGCTCAGACAGCTGTCCAAATGTTTATGCTTGTGCCCCGCAGTCGGTAACACGTTCAGCTGAAATGCTAAACCGAAGTCCAGTTGTACATCTAAACCCATTAGGAGTTTTCCTTGTATCCTTTTGTAAAACCTTGTGTCCTAGACAGATGGTTTAGTAGTGCCATGTAGCATTTTCACAGCTTTGTTGTGGGTCCTGGGACATCTTGGTGGTTTTAGGGCCCAAGGTCAAGGATTTTGATATCTGTGGAGCAGGAGAGAGGGTAGCTATGGTGGGTTTTACTGGGATCCATCTCTCTCTTTCCCATCTAGTTTTCCACTTCTCTGTCAGCCTCAAATCTGCCCTCTTGGGTCTCCTCTGGCCCCTCTCGGAGCACAGGCAGTGTGGTGGCTGCAGGGAAGGTGTGAAGGATGCTGCAAGTCTCAGGCAGTCTCTGTTTTCTCAGAGAGATCTGTCAGGGACTCTTGGGGTCACTTGGCAGCTTGTTTTTATTCCCACACACTATCCTTGTTTTGATTTCAGTCCTGGAGGTCAAGGTCTGAGTCCCAGGTGCTCTATGCTTGCCTGCAGGAGCAGAGATCTTTCAGGGAGGTTGTTGACACTCCCCTTCCTTCCCAGAGAGAGAAAACAAGCAAATAACAACTCGAAGAGTGGTCTAGGTTATTGTAAGTCCACATGGCTGTGTTGTAAATGAATGTTCCCAGACAGCAGCTGATGTAAACTTGAGGAGACAGTGTTCTGCCGGCGTGATGGATGTTCATTGGCAGCTGATGGAGCAATCCTGCAAATGTCACTGAGACAACAGTTTCCCCAAGTGCTGATTAGTTTTGTCTCTCTTGCATAACTTACTGAGAGAAAAGCACACACCTACCCACGTTGGAGAAATGAAATTATGGTGTGGTTACGGTGTACTCATAACCATAGTCAGGAGTTGTTGGAAGAGGATTGGGTTGTCAGTTTGGAAAGTCCATAATCAGTTCTGAACTTCTTAGATCTCTCACCACCCAAGAGGCATATCCGGAATAACCTTCTGTGCACCTCTGTGGATATGTAGCCAAATACCAGTGCTGGGAGATGAATGGTCAGTTCACAAGAGATTGTCAAGCTGACATTCTCTTCATTTTAGACTGGAAAACAGGAACTGCCCCCTGTCCCTGCAGGAGGATGAGTCATAGTGACATGAGTTTGGTAGTGTGGTGCCATCTTCCAAGGCAGTGGCAGGAATGTCCTAAGCACAGACATTAAAATACCTGGGTTTGCCTGGCAGGACATTGGGTGAGTTATCCTTTGGGTGGGGACACAAGAGGTTTTGGTGTCACAGCTTGGCCTTCCTGAAAATATTCAGGTCAGAGGAGCAGCTTCAACCTGCAGTTGTGAGCTGAGCTTGGAAAACACTCTGAACATCAAGGACAATTTTTGGGTGCTCTTCAGTGGCTGCCCTGCTTTCTGCCAAGAGCTGCAATTTCTTCCAGCCGTTGGCTCTGCCAAGGCTTAAACTCTGCTGCCTGTCCTTCCCAATGACTTGTCCACCTCCTTGTCCTCTTCCCTTCACCTTCACTGCTCCCAAACCTATCCTCAATCAAAAAGTGCCAAGGTGGTATCCAAATGTTTGTCCCTTGCATTAAGCACAAGTGTGGAGGGATGGGAGAACATCCCTTGTCCATGGGCAGGACTTCACACTGGGGGGGAAAACACACACAAAACCAAAACAAACAAATAAAACAACAACAACAACAAACAGAAAAGGGGCAATTTTTGCTTTAAGGCAAAATCTTCACTGACTTGAAAAGAGTCAGGATTCAGTGCTGGCGTCGTACTTTGTTTTTCTTTCCCCTGTTTCTTGCCAGTATATCTTAAGTTCATTGCTTTGTTTTGTCCACAAATCACCTGTAATCTTTCACTGAGGGTTTCTGTATCTTGCTGACTTTATGGCACAGTAGGGATCACAGCTCTAGCAGGGATCTGCAGGTTGTAATCAGAATCCCAAATAAATGAGGGACTGTGTAAGCATAGCATTATCATATACTAATTCTCAGCTCATTATGGAAACTTTTACTTTAGAATAGTGGCACCTCCTTCTCCTTTGTTAATGCTCTTTTAAAATGTTTTATTAATGCAATTATCTGAATATAACTTAACTAAGCAAGGCCTCTCATCAAAGGACACGTGCAAGTGTGCAGCAGCTGTCCCAGCACCTCCCAGCCCTGAAAGGCAGCATGTCCATCCTGACGCCGGACAAAGGGAGGCAGTGA